ATTAGCTGGGCATGGTGGCACATGCCTGTAGTCCCAGCTACTTGGGAGGCTGAGGCAGGAGGATTGCTTGAGCCCAGGAGTTTGAGGCTGTAGTGAGCTATGATTGATGATGCCACTGCACTCTAGTCTGGGAGACAGAACAGCACCTTGTCTCCAAAAAAATAGAAGTACATAGTGCAGATTCTAAGGTGAGACACTGTCAGGTTACACCTGCACTAAGCTGGTTCAAGTCTGTATGAAACTATCACCACAGCACTGGCTAGAGGAAAAGGTAAGCTCCAGAGAATTTACAGAATAGGTGTCTGTTACAATAAGTGATAGTGCCTTCGGGACCTCCTCATGACAGTGTCTCACAGGCAATTGCAAGGAGGGTTATGGAAGAGAGAAGATGGCTGCTGTTTCCAGGCAGGATTCCTGGGCAGTGTCCTTCTCTTCCTGGTCTTTCCTTCAATGAGGCTGAGATTTCAGTAATTACTGTTCCTCTTCCTTCTTACCTGAATGTGTTATCTTAGAAGTCCCAGGTTTTGCCACTCCTTCCTCTCCAGGTCCTGACTCCTTTTCCAGTTCTGGGGGCTTTCTGATTGTTCTGAGGCTGAGAGAAAGGCCTAGAGAAAAGCTCTAAGAGAAGCCCGGCTCCCTCCTTCTCTGCTGTGTCTCCTGGAGGAATCCATGACCCGTGGTTGGAAACCCTGGGATCCTCACAGCCTGCTGGCCTCAGCCAGAGCCTCCAGGGCCGGGTTCTGAGCTACCTCCCTCCCAAATAAGCCCTCTGCTTTGGGCTCTCTCTGACATGGGGGTTTGGTTTTCCCATCCCACATCGGCTTTTTGCCACTGCATGAAACTGTAGCCCAGGGACTGGACTACTGCTCAAGCTTATTTCACCACCATTTTCTTTCCTGCTGAGCCAAGCCAACTCTTCTCTGGGCAGGTCCTTCTCTCCTTGCACTGAAGCCCAACTCTTGGTGATGGGATGAAAACCAAGAGAATATCAAGGCATCAGAGGTGAGGACCTCATTAACCAGACAGTAGGACCCAAAGCTCAGGCAGTAGATTTTCTGAGACAGGCTGGAGGTAAGCCCGACTCAGGGACTGCTGCTTACTGCCAAACTGAACACTTACTGAGAAAGTCTGAAGACAGGGAGTTTTATTTTGTTTTGCTTTTTAATGATGTATGACCCTATCTATAATAAAGAAGTGAAACCATTCTATGATCTCAGGTTTGACTGGTTTGTCCTATATACAGGTTGAGCCATGCATACATACTCTTGGTTAAGAGAGTAGGCAATTATGGATTTTTGTTTCCCAGAGGTTCCTAGACTTTTAGAGCTAGAAAGGGCCTCAAAGTTCCTCTAGATCTGTGGTTCTCAAACTTTGGCATGCATCAGAATCACCCAGAGGGCATCTTAAAAAGCAGACCATTGGACCATGCTCTTAAAGTTTCTGACCCAGTAGAACTGGGATGGGGCCGAGAACTCTCTTTTCTAACAAGCTCCCAGGTAGGAGGGCACTGCTGCTGCTACTCTAGGTTTGTGATCTGCAACTCTGGCTACACGTTGAAATTGTCTGGAGAGATTAAAAAAAAAAAATACTGGTGCTGAGACTCCATCCAAACCTGTGAAATCAAAATTACTGGGGGTGGGGCTAAGTGTTGGTATTTTTTCAAAGTACTTTCCCCCAACCCAAGTGACTCTAACGCACAGTCAGGGTTGAGGACACTGATCCAGAGTCTGCCAGGCCAGTGTGGTTCATTTGGGGGAGTGGGTGCTGTTATGTGGGATCCCTCAGAATCATCAGCTGAGCGTTTTCAACATTCCCCCAGTGGTTCTGGTGAGTGCTTTAGGCCCCCTACCCCTCTGGGTCCATGGTTCTCCTGCAGGGAGTCACTGGCTCTCAGCCAGGGCAGCAGGTCTGGGTCAGAGGCTCTTCCCATACCTGGGCCCAGGTCTGATTCCCACAGCTTTCTCCACGTTCTTGGTGAACCAA